CTGTCACACTTTCCCAGTTACAAAATGTTGTGTTGATATTTTTTTAAGGAGGGAATATCATCGAATGACTGCTCCCGCCTGGGTGAGGCGGGAGGGAGTGTCAGACTCTTACTGACTAAAAACCACCCCGTTCCTGCACGTCGAGCCGGAGCCCTGGTAACCCGTTAGGTTCTCCGCGACTGTGTTGATATTTAGGTGACGTCTAAATCAGATTCACTACCTATAAGGTAGGATTCTAATAATAGAAAAAATTGGGTAAAGCCATCTTGATATAAATTTTTTTGTCAAATAGTCACTTTGTAAATTCCGGGTGACGTCATTGACACACACATCGGTAGAAGCTGACATATAACTATGTTTCACATTACGTGACGTAATGTTATGTTATGTTACGTCAACATGTCTAGTGACGTCGTAATGAGTTCAAAGTTAATCGGGATCGAGTAAATCTCAGCTGAAGAGTTCGTTTGTTTGAACCCACAAATCTTAAAAACTATTGATCCGATTTGAGAAATTCTTTTTGTGTTGACAAGCCCATTCATCGAGGAAGGGTATATGCTATTAAACATCACGCTACGATCAATAGGATCCGAGCCAACCGGGTTAAACCACGCGCAAGTGGCTAATAAATAAATAATCATAGTATTTATATTTATGCTAATAATTAACGACATTAATCATTTCTAAGTACGTTAGAGTTATTTACTTCAGCGGGGAAAAGGAAAAGTCCACTACTAGACTACATACCTCTCCTACGTAAGAGGAGTTTGGCCTTATCTCCATGTTTAGCAGACTGATCGGAGATTGCAGTAAACGATTCAGATTAATCAGAGAGCGCTGTTCAATCTCTGTCAATTCCAATCTAAGTATGGTCTTACAGTTTTAAGTCTAAGAATCGAGTAAAGAATGAATGGGTCGTTTATCGTTTTATTTTTTTAAATTTCGAAACTGTCAGTAGTAGCACGGAGTCTGGAATTGTGCCCGGTATATGGGCAATAGGATCACCCCCTATTACATGAGACTAAGTAGTATTAGTAGAGACATAAATAGTATTTACATAAAGTCAAAGTCAAAGCATCTACAAATAAAGTAATTTGAATTTGAATTTATTTCAATTAAACCATAATGTGGTACTTTTGAAACGTCAACAAATACAAAATAAATAATATTCTGTCAGTCAGTCCGTCAGTGAAGCTAGGTGAAGCTAGGTAACTCATAGGGGCTTGCCTTGGAAGCTTTCTAGGCTTAATACATCTCTGCTTTATAGAAATGTGAGTCATAATGTCATGTCAGTAGAATTTTCGGTTATATCACCATGGGTGGGGAATACAGTAATTCTATGGCCAAATAGATAGAATAGATTCCACCGTTGTTTAGCCTTTTTATGGTGATTGCTATAGGTACTTATATTTTATTGTTCTTGTGATAACACCCAAAATATAGCCATAAAATGCTAGATATCGTATTAATTTTATTTTTGTGTTGTAACATAAGCATTTTATTCAATAAAGGGGTGGGTAGGAGTGTGCCTATTTTGCCAACTTTAACTACCACAATAAGTCGTGTATTATTAGATAGAATTTCTCAAAAAACCGAATATTTATATACATTGTTCGATACTGGAATTAAATCCAAGACTGCTAACCAGGATTTTGCTTTTTTATGGGTTAAGCTGGTAAACTAACTGACGTATCACCTGATGGTAAGCAATCGGCGTCGCCTATGGACGCTCGCTACACCATAGGCGCTACAAGTGCGCTACTGGCCTTTTGGAGATTAGGAATTTGAGGATGGAACCTCAGTAGCAGCACGGAGTCTGGAAATGTGCCCGGTATATGGCAATAGGCTCACCCGCAATTTGAGGATTATTGGGGATTCAGGGATTGGTGAAATTGGGAAATGAGGTAATTGGGCCTCCGGTAACCTCACTCACACGAGGAAACACAACGCAAGCGTTGCTTCACGTCGGTTTTCTGCTCGGCCGTAGTATCACTCCGGTCGAGTCCACCCGTTCATGCCAAATCATGGCTCCCTAACACTTAACACTTTTTTGCTCTGACCAAACAAAGCCGTCAAATATCAAAAACACTATATTTTGATAATAATAACTTAAAAATGAATGTCGTGGTGGTCCGGAGGTTTATGACGCCGCTTCTCATGCATGAGGGTGCGGGCTCGACCTACCAACGGCAAGTACCAATGTGACTTTTTCCGAGTTATATGTACTTTCTAAGATTATTTAGATAGCACTGACAAACGGTGAATGAAAAACATCGTGAGGAAACCTGGGCTTATAATTTCTAATTTTAAGTTTGTAATCGCCAACCCGCATTGAGCCCGTGGTGATTAATGCTCAAACCGTCTCCGTGTGAAAAGAGGCCTTTGTTCAGCAGCGGACATTTATTAGGCTGTTGATGTGATGATAACTTAAAATACATTTTTATTCGATTTAAACGGTGAGGTTCCATATTAGCCTCTTGTATTTATTTTTAGGATCTCCATGAGATAAAATAAGCTTCAAGGCTTTTTTATAGAACAGGTTTGCTAATTATATCTAAATACATTTTATAATACTGATTCAATTAGCGATCCAAACGTGGTTATACCACAATGTCTCATGAAAATACCCTATTTTTTCCGTCGTATTCATGAGTATGATACCACGTTGTAAAATCATTAGCTGCTGAGTGATCATGAGCTGCTGTTTACATGTGAACATTAGCTCATGACGATACCTAAGTACGTGTGTCGCCTGGACAGTCAACCTCGCCACATCCTTGTTGACAGGACATCTACACTACATGAGCTGCTGTTTACGTGTGAACATTAGCTCATGACGATACCTAAGTACGTGTGTCGCCTGGACAGTCAACCTCACTACATCCTTGTTGACTGGACATCTACACTACATGAGCTGCTGTTTACATGTGAACATTAGCTCATGACGATACCTAAGTACGTGTGTCGCCTGGACAGTCAACCTCGCTACATCATTGTTGACTGGACATCTACACTACATGAGCTGCTGTTTACATGTGAACATTAGCTCATGACGATACCTAAGTACGTGTGTCGCCTGGACAGTCAACCTCGCTACATCCTTGTTGACTGGACATCTACACTACATGAGCTGCTGTTTACATGTGAACATTAGCTCATGACGATACCTAAGTACGTGTGTCGCCTGGACAGTCAACCTCGCTACATCCTTGTTGACTGGACATCTACACTACATGAGCTGCTGTTTACATGTGAACATTAGCTCATGACGATACCTAAGTACGTGTGTCGCCTGGACAGTCAACCTCGCTACATCCTTGTTGACTGGACATCTACACTACATGAGCTGCTGTTTACATGTGAACATTAGCTCATGACGATACCTAAGTACGTGTGTCGCCTGGACAGTCAACCTCGCTACATCCTTGTTGACTGGACATCTACACTACATGAGCTGCTGTTTACATGTGAACATTAGCTCATGACGATACCTAAGTACGTGTGTCGCCTGGACAGTCAACCTCGCTACATCCTTGTTGACTGGACATCTACACTACATGAGCTGCTGTTTACATGTGAACATTAGCTCATGACGATACCTAAGTACGTGTGTCGCCTGGACAGTCAACCTCGCTACATCCTTGTTGACTGGACATCTACACTACATGAGCTGCTGTTTACATGTGAACATTAGCTCATGACGATACCTAAGTACGTGTGTCGCCTGGACAGTCAACCTCGCTACATCCTTGTTGACTGGACATCTACACTACATGAGCTGCTGTTTACATGTGAACATTAGCTCATGACGATACCTAAGTACGTGTGTCGCCTGGACAGTCAACCTCGCTACATCCTTGTTGACTGGACATCTACACTACATGAGCTGCTGTTTACATGTGAACATTAGCTCATGACGATACCTAAGTACGTGTGTCGCCTGGACAGTCAACCTCGCTACATCCTTGTTGACTGGACATCTACACTACATGAGCTGCTGTTTACATGTGAACATTAGCTCATGACGATACCTAAGTACGTGTGTCGCCTGGACAGTCAACCTCGCTACATCCTTGTTGACTGGACATCTACACTACATGAGCTGCTGTTTACATGTGAACATTAGCTCATGACGATACCTAAGTACGTGTGTCGCCTGGACAGTCAACCTCGCTACATCCTTGTTGACTGGACATCTACACTACATGAGCTGCTGTTTACATGTGAACATTAGCTCATGACGATACCTAAGTACGTGTGTCGCCTGGACAGTCAACCTCGCTACATCCTTGTTGACTGGACATCTACACTACATGAGCTGCTGTTTACATGTGAACATTAGCTCATGACGATACCTAAGTACGTGTGTCGCCTGGACAGTCAACCTCGCTACATCCTTGTTGACTGGACATCTACACTACATGAGCTGCTGTTTACATGTGAACATTAGCTCATGACGATACCTAAGTACGTGTGTCGCCTGGACAGTCAACCTCGCTACATCCTTGTTGACTGGACATCTACACTACATGAGCTGCTGTTTACATGTGAACATTAGCTCATGACGATACCTAAGTACGTGTGTCGCCTGGACAGTCAACCTCGCTACATCCTTGTTGACTGGACATCTACACTACATGAGCTGCTGTTTACATGTGAACATTAGCTCATGACGATACCTAAGTACGTGTGTCGCCTGGACAGTCAACCTCGCTACATCCTTGTTGACTGGACATCTACACTACATGAGCTGCTGTTTACATGTGAACATTAGCTCATGACGATACCTAAGTACGTGTGTCGCCTGGACAGTCAACCTCGCTACATCCTTGTTGACTGGACATCTACACTACATGAGCTGCTGTTTACATGTGAACATTAGCTCATGACGATACCTAAGTATGTGTGTCGCCTGGACAGTCAACCTCGCTACATCCTTGTTGACTGGACATCTACACTACATGAGCTGTTATTAATACGAATTATTTCTTTTGTTCCAGACAACAGTTGGAAAGAGTAAATATACAGTTCAATGGCGATAAGCTTAGCTTTCAAGAAAGGAATCACTTCCAGTTTTTGGCTGACAAGAGCAATGGAGCGCACTTCGATCGTGTTGTAGTTCCCAACCTTCCTTTGTTGGTAAGTATGACAATGGTGTCTGCTTCTTCTTATCATATCTACTGCCTCTGGTGCCTCGCTGGCCGAGTGGTCGTAAGTGTGACTGCTAGGCAAGGAGTTTCGATTCTCAGGTTGAGCAAAGTATTACTGGGTTTTTCTAAGTTCTCAGTAGTAGCACGGAATCTGAAATTGTGCCCGGTATATGGCAATAGGGTCCTATAAACCAAAACATAAATAGTGAAAAGTGGGTGTTACATTGTACAGCGGCATTTAATGTCGTAATATGCAATTGCGCACCTCTGCCTACTTCTTCGGGGATAAAAAGCGTGATGTTATATTATGTCTTTTCATATCTACATTTTGGAACTTTGTTGACGGTCAAATTGATGAGCTATTCTTTTTTTTTTATAACTTTGCCCCACACTAGGATTGTCATCTGTGCCGGGGATGCGTTTACAAATATACAAGTTCACGTACGCAAATCTCGGAACTGAAACAACAATTTGTGGATGTGAATCTCACACTGTGGCGACACATGATACACGTCGAATGACAGCTCACGCACAATACCATCGATGTAAACAACGAACATACGTAGGGAACAGCTAGTAGTACGTAGCTAGTGACAGCTCTAAAATTTGCAACGCCTGAAATAGGACGTAAAGCTGTGCCTGTTATTTCATTTAAACTGTCAAACACCAAGCGGTCACCGGTGACCGCAACCTATTGTTCTATAATTGTGTTTATAATGACGGTACTCGACGAATTAAGACCTGTATGTATTACCTTAACGACTTTGAGTTTAACATAACATAAGATCACGCCTTTTATCCTCGAAGGGGTAGGCAGAGGCGCACATTACGGCACTTAATGCCACTGTACAATGTAACACCCACTTGTTCACTATTTGTTATGAGTCCCATGTAATAGGGGTGAGTCTATTACCATATATCGGGCACATGTCCAGACTCCTTGCTACTACTAAGATTTTCAATAACCCAGTAATACTTTGCCCGACCCGGGAATCGAACCCGAGACCCCTTGACCACTCGGCCAACGAGGCAGTCTTTGAGTTTGAGTTTAAACTTTACTCTCTGTTCCTTAAAATACAAAGAATCTTTCCGTGGATCGAACCCACGATATGTTCTAAAGGCAGCCAGTTGGCCAACCACTGCGTAACTAGTGAACAGCCTTAGCCACTAGAACAACAAATGGTTTATTAAAAAATCGTCATGCTTGCCTGGTGATTTTGAAGTCGCAGTGTAAAAGGTTCAGGTTTATCAGAGAGCGCTGCTACCCAGTATCTGTCAAACGTGCCATAATTAACCCACGGTATGAGTAGAGACATGGGCTCGTACACAAAACTGCGATGCGTGGTCCCTCTACGCATCGTAAGAACTTGCGAATTGATTCGCATCGCGCCAAAATCTTTTTTGTTTCTTTTTCCTGTATCTCCTAACCAATAACGGAAGTGCACACTTCTTTTTACGATCCATGTCACGACCTAGTTTTCAATTTAAAATACGTTTAGTACGGTTGACGGTCGTCGAAGGAATGGTCACCCTGGGAGACGCCTTGTCGCACGAAATCGCATCGCAGCAATTCGGATCGTAATTATTTGCGTTGCGGATTCGCATCGCAGTTTAGTACGAGGAGCCTGTTATAATGTAATTAAAAGTATGGTGTAATTAAAAGTAACCAGGTTTCCCCAAATGTCAATGACCTTCCTGATGCAAGAATTTCTAGAAAACAATGTATTAATGTTTGGGAAATACATATTTTAACAGAACATAGTTCGTATCTTGTTATTTTGCCATAATAATAGAGACCGAGATAAGATACGCTGATTATTGTTCAGCATTTTATTATATTGAATACAATATATCGTGGTAAATAATACATAAGCTTCCTATATAAACATAGGGGGGTCTGTCTAAAAATAGCTGGACAAATGTCATGGAGTACAACACAGAATACAATTTTAACACCATACGGTAAAGTAGAATATATTTTGTCACCACCTCTACTTCCCATGGGTGTCGAATACCCGACTAAGGGACTACACATTTGATAAAGATCGGCGGCAGCGCTCTCTGATGTAGGTACCTCTATTTGAAGTCCAATTTCCACCCCCCTATCGAGATCGGCGATTATGGCAATTATCAACAGCCTATAAGTGCCCACTGCTAACCAAAGGTCTTTTCTTTAACGGAGAAGGTTTGAGCATGAATCACCACGCTTGCTCAATGCGGGTTAGCGATTTAGGCAGTCGCCAGGCCGGCTAACTGCGTCGTGACTAGTACTCGTGTCAGTTTGAGCGTCGCCAACTACTTCATTGGCACATACAACATCGTCGTCATAAACAAATAATAAAATAAACAGGGGTAGATTATAATATAATAATAATAATAATAAATCATTTATTTAAAGTAACCAGGACTCACAAAATGTTAGTAAAACTTACATCTATGTTAGTATGTAATCATAATTGTTTTATAGTGCAATAAAAGTTTGATATTATTACATCCTACATTAATCCATGGGAAATGGCATTACATCGTCCCATGTATATGCAGTCCAGTCTGCTCGCAATCATGCTCAGGATACTGTTGGAGCTGGCCCGCACCCTGCTCACCAGGGAAGCACACCTTTTGCGCATTGTTGCATAAAAACAGTCTATGTGTGCATCTGCAAACATTCCTGATGCGCTACAGAAGCGGGGCAGCCCCACCAGCACCCTAAATGCATTATTATATTGAACACGGATTGATTATGGTCTTGAAATAACACATATGCCACTTTTTATCCCACGGACGCGGGCGATCCCATTAACAGAAGCTAGTATTCCACAAATGCTGACAAGATCTATTAATAATGGTCCATAATATAATGAATTCCTTTATTACAGGGAGTGATTTCGAAAGCATTAAGTATGAACCTGAACAGTCTTGGACAATTGACGTTGAGCTCCGCCATGACTTGGGCAAATCATCCGAACGCCTTCGCTGAATTACCAGTACACCGGTAAGATATTATCATCCGTAAGATTTTAGTCAATAAGAGTCTGACAGTCCCTCCCGCCAGGCGACGCGGCGACTATCGCGCTGCTTCTGGCTACTCGTGCTGCGGAGCGGGCCCAGCTCGCGCTCTGCCGTGATTCACGCGCACTTTCTTCTATCTGTGATATAGGCGATCGCCACGCTCGCGACAATGGTGGTACGTTGGACTCATTCGCCGGCTGCATAGGTTTTTTTTATAACATAAGCCGGTGAACGAGCAGACGAATCACCTAATGGTAAGCAATCGGCGCCGCCCATGGACACCCGAAATAACAAGGCGTTACAAGTGCGTTGCCGGTCTTTTGGGAATTGGGAATTTGAGGATTGTGGAGGATACGGGGCTTCGGAAGACTGGGGAAGGAGGTAATTGGGCTTCCGGTAACCTCACTAACACGAAGAAACACAACACAAGCGTTGTTTCACATCGGTTTTCTGCTCGGCCGTGGTATCACTCCGGTCGATCCGGCCCATTTATGATGATGCATGAATCTTAAGTGTACTTAAGTGTATGTGTAAAAGGTGTCAATAAAAATAACATGAGTAATCCAAAAAATATAATAATGAACGGATTTTCATATTAAGGTTTTCCCACAGATTCTTATGGGGCTATGACGACAGTATCATCGATACAGCTAAACCCTTCCTGAGTCTCGGAGGGCAACTGAAATTTGAGAAGTTTGGCTTACTTGTAACGGTGAGACGATATACGATTATAAACGAGTTCAAAATAAAAAAGCATGGTCGCAGTCTGACCTGGGAGCTTACACCTGAAACCAATCTTAATGTCAATGCAATTTCAATCCAATAAAATCTCAATAATTATTCAATGTCAACATTATACTACCCCTATCCTACGATAGGGGTAGTACGACAGCTACCTGTTAAAATATCATTCAGAGTACGGAATATAAAGCCAACCTCAATACCATTTAGTTCATTCAATATCCACGCAATACGGATGCAATGGGCGCTAGTATTGCAACTCAAGAGTATGAAATTTCACAATGTTAATGTCGATAGATCGGAATTGGATTCAAGAGTAAGCTCAGAGAGTATTTATGCATGTACTGAACCGATTTGCGATGATGCGGATGCGGTTTTCAGAAAAGTGTTGGTTACTCGTTCTGGACTGCCTCTTTGGCTGAGTGGTAGCGAGTGCAACTGCCGGGCAAGGGATCTCGGGTTCGATTCCCGAGTCAGGCAATGTATTATAACTAAAACAATCTCAGTAGTAGCACGAAATCTCAGTAGTAGCACACCCCTTCAGGGATAAAAGGCGTGATGTTATGTTTATTAAAATTTGGAGAAGGTTTTTTATTAACCGACTTCCAAATAAGAGGGTTGAAGTCGATTAGTAACCGTTGAAGTCGATTTTTTTAAATCTAGTTTATAAAAGAATTGTTTGTTGTATCTATGTGTAATCTGACTTCCAAAACAATTCAAGAAACATGAATAGATTTAATGAATGAATGAATGCAGGCGTGTTATTTGTGCTAACACTAAACCCTTTTATTACTTATTATTATAAGTAATAAATTGTTAATTTTACAGAAAAACGGCACAGTCTCTGAAAGATTCACTATCAATACTGGAGAATATGACAAGGACAAGATGAACATCATCGAACAGTTTGATGGGAACGACCATCTTACCTTCTGGGGCAGTCCGGAGTGCAACAGGTGAGGAGATTGTTTTTTTTTTTTTTGTTAATAAAAAAAACGTTGCCCCATACTAGGATTTTCTCCTGTGTCGTGGGTGCGTTTCAAACATACAAGTTCACATACACATGACACACAGACCCGGAACAACAATTTGTGGATCACACAAAGTGTTGTTCCGTGCAGGAATCGACCCGCGACACGTTGCACGGCAGCCGGTTGCCCAGCCACCGTACCAACCGTGCCGTCAATTCAAAAATAATATTAATTGGGATGATGACAGGGTATGAAAATTAAAAACATAATTAGTCCGTAAGTTAGGTAATGAAAAAATATTAAACACGTATTTTTTTTTATTTTGTCGTATAATAAAACAATACTTAGATAAAACGAATCAAAGTTTAGGAGCGGGGGCTAAAACGTCATTTCTACGTATAAAATGTACATAGAAGTGACGTCACGCGACATTTCAAATTAATATATCGTCGAAAGTATTCGTTTCTGTAAGAAAATAAGAAATACGTGTTTAATGTTTTATAATAATCTACCAGACGGACATTAAAATAAAAATTAGGCATCTACCCTATTCTACCTTAGGCCTACATTAACATAAAAAAAAACAATATCATAGACAACCGTTATCGTTTGCCTCCTATTCCATAAAAAAAGATTGGACAACCATTGGGTACTTGCCAACTAGTCAAATTCAATACTTTTATCGAACCGTCAAAAACGATAGATTTCTATGAATTTTACGTACGAGATTGTGTATTGTGACGTCACGTTTTTTTAGCGTCAAACAGCATAGTGATTTTATAAAGAATGCTGGAAAAATACTAAAATTAAGTTGGTTATAATATCATTTAATGACAGTGTGATTATTTTTTAATATTGTATTGTATTGAACAGTCGAAATAATTTATTTTTGATTAAAAAATGTACCCAATTTCCCGCCGTCACAGACGCCATCTTAAAAAATGGCGCGTGGAATCATGTAAGTCATTGACAATTTCAATGAGACGAATCTACATTACATTATCATTATTTTGTAACACGCCGTGTCATAAGGTCGTTGGGGTATCAGCAGAGAGATAATTAAACGCCTGAGCCAACCATCAGCCCATGTTTATAAAAAAAACATAAACTATCATTTTGTGATTGTGAGCGAACATCACATTGATTGTTAGAACTGGTTGGAACCAATGATCGGCCTAGCACGAAGTTTGACTACTATCAAGCTATTTTATTGAGTTTTAACATTAAATTTTTCAATAGATAACAACATAACATTAACATCACGTCTTTTATCCTCGAATGCGTAGGCAGAGGTGTACATTACAACACTTAATGCCGCTGTACAATGTAACACCCACTTTTCACTATTTGTGTTATGAGTCCCATGTAAGTGAGCCTATTGCCATATACCCGGCACATTTCCAGACTCCGTGCTACTACTGAGATTTTTTTTAATATCCCAGTAATACTTTGCTTGACCCGGGAATCGAACCCGAGACCCCTTACCCGGCAGTCGCAATTGCGACCACTCGACCAACGAGGCAGTCATACTGAGTTTGTTTCGGCATTTCTTCTCAGAGTAGTCAGTTAGGAAATGTCGGCCTCATCGTTCGCTTGATAAAATTGACGTGTAAGAGTGCTGCCTTGTAGCCTATTTGCAGAAATAAATTCATTTGTTTCAAAAAGGATTTTCCAAATCGGACCAGTAGTTTCTGAGGTTAGCGCGTCTAAACAAAAAGACAAACATACTCTTGAGCTTTATATAACTAGTATGTATAAGATTATTGTATTCTTCTGCTTACAGCATAAAGGCATCGGATGGGTCTATATTTCCACCGTCACAGCTGGACAAGACCACCACTCTCCATGTCTTCTACCCCAACCTATGCCGAAGACTGCCTTTTCAATATGAGAAGACTATCGAGGTGAGTTAACAAAACTATTATTTAACACAATAAAATTAACTTCATCCCGCGGCTTTGCCCGCATTCCCATGGAATAAAAAGTAGCCTATGTGTTATTCCAGACCGTAATCTACCTCTGTACCAAATTTCATCCTGATCCCTTCAGCCGTTTTGACGTGATTGAGTAACAAAGATACAGACAAACACGCATACTTTTGCATTTATAATATTAGTTAAATAATAAGATATTATGAAAGGGAATTAAAATGAAAACCATGAATACGGCCTATATCCCTCCCCTCCTTCCCCAATATCCCGAATCCCCAACCTTCAGCAACAAACTCAAACTCAAAAGCATTTATTTCAATTAAACTGTCAAACATCAAGCGGTCACCGGTGACCGCAACCTATTGTTCTATAATTGTGTCTACAAAACCGGTACTCGACGAGTTAAACCATAATTTGGTAATTTTGAAACGTCAACAAATATGAAATATTTAATAGTGTGTCAGTCTGTCCGTCAGTGAAGCACAGTTGTAAATCATCGGGTTGGCCATGGATGGCACCGATGGCTCACCATTCGAATTCGTCATCACCATCCGATTGACCGCTAGTTTTAATTAATCACTAGGATTTTCTCCTGTGTCATGGTTGCGTTTACTAACATACAATTTCACATACACAATGACATCCAGACCCGGGACAACAATTTGTGGGTCAAATCAAATCGAATCAGTAATTTTCCGTGCGGTAATCGAACTCGTCATACCTTGCGCGGCAGCCGATGCCAACCGCAGTCGATTTTTAACCGATTTCAAAAAAAAGAAGGAGGTTCTTAATTTAACCTGTAGGTATGTATGTCCGCGGTTATCTCGCGATTGGCTGAACCGATTTTGATGCGGTTATCAGAAAAGTATTTGTTATACTTAGAATATGGTTTTAGTGAATGGGGGGGGATGAAGTCGGTTATTTAAACGTAGTCAATTTTTTTTTATGGCATAAGCCGGTAAACGAGCAGACGGATCACCTGATGGTAAGCAATCGGCGTCGCCCATGGACACCTGGAACACCAGAAGCGTTACAAGTGCGTTACTACTTGCTTTTTAGAGATTAGGAGTTTGAGGATCGTTGGGGATTCAGGGATTGGGGAGATTGGGGAAGGGGAGGATAATTGGGCATCCGGTAACCTCACTCATACGATGAAACACAACGCAAACTTTGCTTCACGTCGGTTTTCTGTGAGGCTGTGGTATCACTCCGGTCAAGCCGGCCCATTCGTGCTGAAGCATGGCTCTCCCACACTATACAAAATAATTATATTTTATTTTTCCAGATAGTAGACGGAATTGAGCTGTACCGGTACAGAATGCCTTTGAACGTGTTCGATGATCCTGGTCACAACCCTGAGAACCAATGTTACTGTGAGATTGACACCGCGACCTGCCCACCACGAGGAATCATCAACGTCACTGATTGTACCATGGGTAAGACTTATTTGCATAGATCAACAACCTATTAGTAGCCACTACTGACCATAGGTCTCTTCTCACACGGAGGTTTGAGCATTAATCATCACGCTTGCTCAATGCGGGTTGGCGATTGCAAACTTATAATTAGAAATTAGATGCCCAGGTTTCCTCACAATGTTTTCCTTCACCGTTTGTCAGTGATGTCTAAATAATCTTAAAAAGTACATATAACTCGGAAAATGCTAAATTGGTAGGCGCCGTTGGTAGGTTTCAACTCACACTCTCATGCATGACAAGCGGGCGTCTCTACCCGGAGGTCAATGTGATGTGACATTTATTTAGATTCATCTACACACACTGAGAAAAGCTCTACTAGTTTCGAGTCACAGAGGGACTCTTCCTCATGAGCAGCGTGCGCGGTTACTACGACTATAATTAGGAACTTTTCTCATAATATTGACTCAAGTCAATATTCTAAAATATATTGACAGTTTACTCAAGTATTGTCATTTACGTTACGTTTAAATACGAAGTCGCAGAGAACCTAACGGGTTACCGGGGCTCCAGCTCGAAATGCAGGAATAGAAACGGGGTGGGTTTTAGTCTGTAAGAGTCTGACACTCCCTCTCGCCTCATTCAGGCGGGAGCAGTTATTCGATGATATCCCCCCTTAAAAAAAATCATTTATAGTCATTTATAGTCAGTATGTCTAACGATAGACACTTCTGTCTCTTGTATTAATTCACCGAGGGAAGTGGAAAATATCGTATTTTTTCTTCTTTATAAGAGGTATAATATCTTCTGATTTATTTCGTTGCGAGAACCAAGACAGTTATTCATGTTCCCGGGACGCGCCGGATTTCGGTGTTCCGGTGTTTCATGGATGTATCTACTGTAGATCCTGGTGCACAGGAGTTCCAGCGGCTTTGGGAGACTGGGGCGTGCTTGTCCCAAAAAACTGTCCCACAATAGTTATAAAATCATAACTTATATTCAATTGAAACTAGTACAGAGTCTAAAAAATCGCATCGAAGCCTTACTTACAATAGGGTAGATGACTAATTTGTATTTTAATGTCCCTCTGGTAGATTATTTTAAAACATTAGTAAACATACATACATCTATACACATAAACAAAACTGAAGTGTCTGTTTGTAATATCAAAACAACATTGTTCAGAATTAAAAAAACACGTTTAATTTTTCTGACAGAAACAAATACTTTCGATGATATATTGATTTGAAATATCGCGTATCGTCGCGTGACGTTAGTTCAATTTTTGACGTTTCAAAAGTGATAGGCACATGTGTTTGTAGCATTGTAGCGACACATGTCACATGTCAACGGATGACGTCATAAAATCCTACATCGCACATGCGAAGTTTACAAGCGAATTAACACGAGTAGAAAATCCCAACGAACAACTGTTGGGTGGAAAGCCCGCCAGGCACGATCACCTCGCCTGGTCGGAGGATCCTCCTTTTCCGATCTTAGGGAACTTTCCACTCTGTTCCCTAAAGGTTAATTGAAATAAATGCTTTGATTTTGACTTTGATAGGTTATCATTTTAATTTAGGTTAGTAAGGAAATAAACTATTTATGTTAAAACTACCTCTACCATAAATTATGAAGTTGCGTTAAATTACCTACAGGAAATCAATCTTTCGGAATTATTGTTTTGCAATGACCCTAATTTGTTAACTGACCAACTCATACAAAAACTGACTGCCACTATTAACTACAGCACTAATATAACAAGTATCCCAAATAATAAACGTATCATCAAACCATGGATCACCCCGGGATTACTGCGCTGCATTAACAATCGCAATAAACTACAACGAAACTCTCGACTTGAACCACATAATGAAATATTAAAAATTACATACCGTCGTTATAGAAATTACTGTAATAACTTGATTAAAAAATTAAAAAGAAAGTATGAAAGAGATCTACTTGCCAAATCAGTCACCAACTCAAAGTTACTTTGGAAAAACATTAAAACAATCACCTACTCAAACAAAACTAAAAATCAAAGCACATTATTATTAAATATCTTGCCGTCCCCACTAGCATCTGTAAATTTTGTAAATGATTATTTTGCGAATATTGGAAAGCAATTAGCCCAACAAATTCAGCTTACAAGAAATCAAAACAATGATTATCGATGTAATAACCGACATACGCAAAATAATTCTTTTGTACTCTTGGACACAGACCCTAGGGAAGTTGAAAGCATATTGATGAGTTTAAAGTCGGACAGTGCTCCAGGCTGGGACAACATCTCGACTAGATTTCTTAAGTATGTTAGCAAGGAAGTCGTACCGATCATCGCCCATCTGGCTAACCTTTGTTTTAGAAATGGTATTTTTCCGACCTTACTAAAACAATCAATTATTACTCCGGTACACAAGGGTGGAAACAGTGACGATGTAAACAATTACAGACCTATCTCTGTGTTACCGGCTTTATCTAAGGTTTTGGAAAGGTTAATAAACGTGAGACTTGTTAACTATTTTAATAAATTCAGAATATTGTCGCCCACTCAATTTGGTTTCAGACAGGGAGTAGCCACTGAAGACGCAGTTTCTGCCCTCAGCTCAGTGGTTGCTGAGCATCTAGATGTAGGAAAAAAATGCCTCTCGGTATTCCTAGATTTAAAAAAAGCTTTCGACACCGTCTCTGTTCCAACCCTTGTGTCCAAACTAGAAAGAGTCGGAATAAGAGGAGTACCACTCAATCTCCTTAAAGATTACCTATCAGAGAGACGGCAGAGAGTTAAGATAGGTACATATCTCAGTGATAATGCAGACGTCTCATTTGGCGTGCCTCAGGGTAGCGTTTTGGGCCCTACACTCTTTTTAATGTATATTAACGACCTCTGTACCTTAAAAGTCGATAACGCTAGCATTTTTTCGTACGCTGATGATACCGCTGTTGTATTTTCTGGAGATAACTGGCCTGAAGTTCAGCTTAAAGCTGAGAAGGGTATGACTAAGATCGCTAACTGGCTAAATAATAATTTATTAACTTTGAACGCAACTAAAACTAACTATATCTGTTTCTCTGCTTCAAAGCGTTCACAACCAAATGAAGACTTCAGTATTAAAGTGCATTCATGTAAGCAGAAAACCGCTAATAATGATTGTACATGTCCTCTAATTGGTAAAGTATCTCAGACAAAATATTTAGGTGTCATAATTGATCAACAGTTGTCTTGGTATTTCCATATCGAACACGTAACTCATAGAATAAGGAAATTATGTTGGATATTCAAAACATTGAGACACGTCGTTCCAACCATTACAAATAAAAAAACCGGCCAATACAGAAATCTCTTAAACGAAATTTACATCGCCCTTGCACAATCCATCATAACATACTGTATACCGATATGGGGCGGTGCAGCAAAAACCAAATTTATAGAGGTGGAACGAGGACAACGAGCACTCATTAAAATTATGTATTTTAAAAGTAGGAGGCACCCTACTGAAAGTATTTATCAGATAAGTGGTTTACTCTCTGTTAGGAAATTGTACATCACACAACTGATTTTAAAAAAACACAAAACTGTTTTTTATGACAGTAAAATATTATCAAAGAGACGTAAAGATATGATTGCACAAGTTCCACAAACTAAAACTAAACTTGCTGCTATACAATACAATAAACGCTCTGCACAAATATATAATAAGGTAAACAAAGAAATATACATATACACTAAACAACTACACGAATGTAAGAAATTGCTAATCGAATGGATAAAAAATCTAACATACGAAAGTACGGAAGCCCTGCTGCAACACGTAAAATAACCATCCCTCACACACCCTCGCAGATACACCACGACACACACGCCACACACACAGATACGCGCACCTCACACACACATACACCCCACACTCACATACACCCCTTACACATAAATCTATTTATATAAGTCAATAAACTGGTAATTGTAAAAACCAAAAACTTTTGAAATATTGTTATGTTATGGAAGAGCGGAGTCTCCTAATACAGGCATTATTTACCTAAAAGGAGGCTCCAATCACAATCTATTGTTAAAAAATATTTGGTTCAGAAATAAAAAATGTTGTATTTGTATTTGTATTTGTATGTTTTTCGGCTTACTCACGTAATAATTTGACGAGGAACTCGACTAGTTTCAAGCCATGCTAGAGGCTCATATTGATGAGCAACATTCCGCGACCCGCGACGCGGCAACTGTCGCACTGCTACTAGCTACTCGAGTCTGCGGTGCGTGCAGCGTGATTCACGCGAAACATGATAATTAATTTGCTATCTCTCAGTTCTCACAAATATTGTAATATATATTTAGTAAGGAAATAATTGTTTTGATTTTTTTTATTTCTAGGAGCCCCTGCTTTGGTGTCGTTCCCTCATTTCTACTTGGCTGATCCTAAACTACGTGAGGATATACTTGGACTGAAACCTGACCCATTGAAACACGACTCCTTCATCGACCTGCATCCTACATTAGGAATAGCTCTCAGTGGAAAATCTAGGTAAGAATTACGACCAGATTGTTTATGGGATGAATGGCGGTGTACGAGCAGACGTATCACTGATGGTAGGCTATCGGCACCGCCTATGGACACTTGGAACACCAGAGGCGTTACAAGTTGGCCTTTAGGCCTTTTTAGGGTTAGGAATATGAGGATTAGAGTTTGGGATACTAGGAGGGCGGTAATTAGGCCTCGGGGAACCTCACTCCAACAGCGAAACACAACGCAAACCTTGTTTCACGTTTATTTTTCTGATTCTAATTCCAAGATGGCCGTCGATATAAAATGGCGGATCAGTTTTTGCCTCAACTATCTTATTTTTTATAATAACTATCGTGAGACATACTAAACCCGCGTTTTTACTTATCTTATTTTTATTTATTGGTTCACCAACAATTGTACACACTACATCAAATATTAGATTACATGCAATAGATACACACTTTAGTGTTACAATCACTTAAAGGTAAACACCACGTGCATAAAAAGGTTGTACAAGAAAGACAAGAGTATATAATAATATCTTCATTATACATATCAGACGAAAGGGCTTGTGTATCGTTTAACGTAGACATATATTTTTCATATATTACTTGTTTCAGTTTACAAATCAACATTCAAGTGAGAAAAAGTGACATGTTCTCCTCTGTCAAATTCCTTCCTAATGGACTTATATTACCTGTGGCATGGATTGAAATGGTAAGTTCTTTTTTATAGATAAACCGGTAAACTAGCAGATAGATCACCTGATGGTAAGCAATCGGCGCCGCCTATGGACACCTGGCACACCTGGTGCGTTACAAGTGCGTTACTGGCCTTTTGGGAATTGGGAATTCGAAGATAGTGAGGGATTCGGGGATTGAGCTGACTTTCCGAAACTAAATTGGGCCTCCGGTAACCTTATTCACCCGACGAAACACACCGCAAGCGTTGTTTCTCGTCGGTTTTCTGTGAGGCCGTGGTATCACTCCAGTCGAGTCGGCCCATTCGTGTCGAAGCATCGCTATCCCAAACTTAAAGTTTAAGGTCGTGTTGACCAAGGACGAGAAATAAAAAGGGCGTTGACAAGTAAAGTCAAAGTCAAAATCATTTATTACAATTACACCAGAAAGGCACTTTTAAACGTCAACAAAAAAAAATAAAAGCGAAGCTATTTGTTCATTCCTATGGAGAAGAACGAGCAAGAAACTCCATAGGTTACTCTTTTATGTAAGAGCAAATGTGGAGTTTGGTGCTGCGCCGTAGCACTGAATAACCAGCCATAGGTTCGAAATACTGTCACTTGCAAGCGGCTCGTGACGGCCAATGCGAGTATGCATAAGCGGTGGGCCTTAGTCGGCTCTTAGGGCAACCGAAGCAAGAGTAGTGGAAGAATATAATTTCTCACCTACTTTTAAGTAATACTCAATACTCAAACATTCAAAGTTTATTATAAAACAAATTCCTTTAAGAAAACAGCATAGTAATATATTGTTTTCTTAAAGGAACAACTGTTACAACTGTTTGCGCGGGGAACTTTACGAATCTGTCACATTTGAAAGATGACAGCGTCAACATGACAGCTAGTGCTGTCGATAACACAGATTAAACTAGTGACGTCCATTTAGTTGATTTGCGTCGTCTAACAGTACCTAATATAATAATATTTTCACTTTCAGAGCGTTGAAGAGTTACCGGAAGGCCTCAGATCCCTGGTCTACCACGGCACCTACTCTACAGCCGCAGCCCAACTTGGATTAACAGTGATATGTGTCATAGCATTCATTAGCTCCGGAGTCTGCTTACTCTGCACGTTCACTCGAAGAAAACAAAAACCCTGCGCCACATTAAAAGTTAAAATACCTACAGAACTCGAATTAAAAAACCAAATGTCGTGAAATAGTTAATAGTCTTTTAAAATTTGTGCTAGCCTACTGTATTTTCGCTTACTAAATGATGATAATGTGGCTCTCTTGTTATTCAACCAATAGGGAATTAGCAACTGTCACGCGGTTGGATGTTCGATATTTGACAGCTGCAATGGACAAACAGTCCTTTGTTTAGATCTGCGCCATCTAGTGAGCGGAAAACGGTAACCCCCATTACAACATTAATTAAACCAAAGACGGAAGAAGCCATTTTTGTTTTTCACAAAATGGCGGGATTTTTTGGCGTATAAGTGTATTTCCTGTCACTAACAATGACCAGATAATACATAAAATATATTTTGTAGTATGTTAGGTGAGACACCTTACCTTAGAAGTAATCCAATTATGAAATAATCCAATCTGAAATCTTAGTACAGTTACTTCCAAAGTACAACAATGTATTGTTAATTTTTTTGTCTTCACATTTATTGCAATATGCATTTTTAAGTGCATTTTATTTTAAATAAATCTTTTATAAACTTTTAAAAAAAATCTGACTTCAACCCGTTCTTTTTAAGTCGATTAATTATTAAGTAAAACCTTATCTTATGTTTATCAAACACTTTTCTAAAAACCGTATCAAAATCGGTTCAGCTAATCACGCACAAACATACATACATATAGATAAAACTAAGAACTCTCCTTCTTTGAAGTCGGTTAAAAATATAGTTAGTTTTTATTGTGAGTCAAATAATATAATTATTACATCTATCTGTAGTAAAAAAAAACATGCAAAAATATATCAAACAACGGCTGTGTCTTTTTTAATTTTAAATAAACAAATAGATAATTGTAATTCAGCCTTAAAAGTATCGACATTCATAACGATAATAGTCGTTAATTTTGTTAAGAGCATTTCAATTTCAACCCGAGACTAGACTCTATCAAGAGGTGCGCCAAGAGGCTCAACCATGATAAATCGCATGTGGAGGCTTGGCTTCATAGCCTTTCGGTCTATTTTTAACTATTGACGTATTGCATATTTCATTAAAATTGATTTAGTAGGTAGTTTCCTTCCAAGGACGTTAAAATGTCGGACATAGTCTCTTGAAATAACGACTGTGGCACCTGGCTACTAGCTACTAG